TTCCAGCTTTCCAAATGCACTGTAATATTTTCCCTCCCTTCCCCTCCCCTACCCTACAAAGGCAGCCAAGCTGTATTGCCCCCTGAGCATGTCTTTCAGAAAACACACACACACACACACACACACACACACTCACTCACAGCATCTTCTTCTTTGCCTTGCCACATTCATAGTCTACCTATCTGATCCACCACTCTACTCATTTGGGAAATCACCAGATTGACTTACACTCACCCTCTTCAATAGGCTTCATTGTGCACAAGCACCTCAGTATGGTGGGAGAAATATTAACAAATGATGTCAGTCTCTGAAAAATGTATGAACTCAAATCTTGAGAAGATTTTCATTATTACTCAGCATTTTTCCTGCACTTCTTTATCCAGTTCACTTTCTCTTAGAGAAATATTTTCTTTCTGAACTTCAAAGATTACAATTTCACCTGTCCATTTGAGTGGCCATTGAGACAATGGTCAGAATTACCCCTCCCATCAGTCCCCCCAACTTGTCTGTTCCTTCTCCCCCAGATTCATTTCATACTATTTCTTTTTGCTTACCATTGGATCAGAGCTTTATTTGTGCTATCCCGTCTTATAAGGATGAACAGGTAATCAAGCAGATGATAAGATGATGAAAAGCAGAGACTATAAAAGTACCATGAGATGAGCACCGGTGGCTCACACCTGTAATCCTAGCTATGCAAGAGGCTGAGATCTGAGGATCACAGTTCAAAGCCAGCCCAGGCAGGAAAGTCCATGAGACTCTTATCTCCAATAAGCCATGAGAAAACGGGAAATAGTGCTGTGGCTCAAGTAGTAGAGTGCTTGCCTTGAGCTAAATTGCTGAGGGACAGCGCACAAGCCCAGAGTTCAAGCCCCACGACTGACAAAGGAAAACACAAAATATCACGATAGATGGCTTGGTGTTTATAACCAGATTTTATTCTGTTTTAGTACTGGCTTAGCTAACTCATAAAGTACCTATGTATGCACACTCACTTATATTGCATCTGATTTAAGTGCTGGTTACTGGAGCTTGAACTCAGGGCCTCTCACTCCTGTTTTATTTATTTTTCCACTGAAGGACAGTCTTTTACCATTTGAGCCTCCACTCCCAGCTTTTTGCTTGTTGAATGGAGGTAAGTCTCATGGAATTTTCTACATGGGGTGATTTTGAACTGCCAGCCTCAGCTGTCAGGCTACTAAGGCTATAGGATTTCAGGCATAAGAAACATGTACCTGGGGCTGGGAAGATGGCTCAGTGCTAGAGCGCTTGCCTTGCATGCCTGAGGCCCTGGGTTTGATTCCTCAGCACCACATAAGCAAAAAAAGAAAAATGCCGGAAGTGGCGCTGTGGCTCAAGTGGTAGAGCGCTAGACTTGAGCTGAAGAGCTGAGGGACAGCGCCCAGGCCCAGAGTTCAGGCCCCACGACTGGACCCCCCAAAAAAGAAACATGCACCCACACTTCCCAGTTTTGCAACTCACTATCTTTTACATCTCCATATTTTCATTCTCAGCTGGTGATCTCACTTTTGTATTACTCACAAAGTAGAATAATTCAGAAGAGAGTTATATTATGTTCCTTCAACCAGCTCAACCAATCTATTTGTGTCTTCCATGTGTTGATCCTCTTCTTTCTGATTAATGTGAGCAAAAATACTAAAGAATAACCAAAGAAATTTTGAGGAACAAACAGGGAAACTTTCTCTAAATATTAACATTTACTATGAAGCTATAGTAAGTAAGAAAACACAACACTCACATAAAGATAGACTATGAAACAAAGGAGTCCAAGAGCAGGCCAAGAGTTCATTCACCTGATTTCTAAAGAAGCTGACAGCAGAGAAAGTAATGTCTTTTTAATATCAGTGTGCAAATGTGATGGGAAAAGCATCATCCTGAGTTCTGATTTCTAACATACTAAAACTTACTTCTAAATTAATTGTAGACCTAAATATAAAAAATAAAGTAGGGGCTGGGAAGGCGGCTCAGTGGTAGAGTGCTTGCCTCACATGCATGAGGCTCTGGGTTCTATTCCTCAGCACCACATAAGCAGAAGAAGCTGGAAGTGGCACTGTAGTTCAAGCTGAAGTGCTCAGGGACAGTGCCCAAGCCCAGAGTTCAGGGCCCATGATGGGCACAAATAAATAAATAAATTTACCAGAATGGAATCAAGACTATCTTAGATGAGACATAAAAACAAGAATGGAAATTGGATTACAGTAAAATTAAAACCTATTCTCCAAAAACCACTGCTAAGAGAGTGAAAAAGCAAGTTAGCCTGGAAGAAATCTGTAATACACATTTCTGACAAAGAAACAAAACATATAATTATTTATATATTCTAAATACACACACACGCATATATATATATATGTATGTATATATCAGTAAGAAACAAACAATCCCTAAAGAGAAAAATAGTCAAAGAAAAGACTTCAAAAAATATGTCTTAAGAGACACTCAAGTTTATGAGGTCACCAAGAAATAAAAATTTTAACCAAAATGTTGGACTAGTGCATAATTGCTAGAAAGACTAAAATGAGAAAAGACACTACCAAATGTTGGCAAAGATGGAGTTTCTCACAAATTATAATAGTGTGAACTGAAAGCATCACTTTGGGAACTATGTGGAAGTTCTTATGAAAGCTAATCGTAGGAAGCATCTGCATGTGCTCATATGAAGTAAGTGGCCATATTTACTGGTCCTGTGTTATTAAAAATAGACCTGAAACTAGACTTCCTAACTGTACTTTTATGTTTTTTAGAACTTTCATATGTTAAAGCAAATTGTTTAAAATGTGTAACACATTTTAAGTTTATGTAAGCATGTATACACTGTGCTAAAAGTTACTATGTTTCAGTTTGTGTATAATATTAATAGGCAATTTTGGTTTAATTTTTAAAAACATTAGTGGTTTACATTTTAAAGAGAAAAATCACCAGCATGAAAGTACAAAAAAACCCCACTTTCCTTTTACATTTGTGTTCATTCAAGAATAAAAGAAGTTCCAGTAGTTTGTCTAAAAGAAGAACTACAAGTGAAACTTCAATCCTTTAGGGAGAAGTTCAAATCAAATTATACAAGTAGGTATTTCAATTTTCTATCTACAAAGCAGTTATAAAACTTTTGCACTGAATAGAAAATTTTCCTAATGAAGAGAAATAAAACTTTCTCATCAAATGTTTGATTGCATTGAAAATATAAAAGGACCAACCTTCGACTGCAGAGAAAAATAAGAAATTATTTCCAGCTTAGATTTTGTTTCATCAATTAATAAGGTTCTTTAAAAAAAAGACCCAAAGGCAAAAATCTATGTACAAGATGTATATTTTCTTGTTGGGTGAAAAGCTCTGAGCATACGCTTGCTTGAGAGAAATAAATTCATATGATTCAGTTACATATTTTCAACTACTGTTGGCCATCTGTGCAAATTGGAATTCTGTAAGTTAGTTGATGCTGCTTTATGACATACTTCTATCGTGAGCCAAGCATAAAGGTGGTCAGGATTAGACAGGAGGGACTTGACCCTCAGGAGACCACATGGAATTTTTGTTTCTCAGCCAAGGTTCTGTTCCTTTATGAATAGCAAATGTTCTTGACTTCACTATGCCATGATCAACTTTTAACTTGACTCTCAAGTACAGGGAGATGTCTAACCTTCCTTATTCTCTTCCTAAGGATAGAATTTTTTCTCCTGGCAGTGATTTTAAATTTTGACAGTTTGCTAGGCAGTGGAAATTCTGTTATGAGCAAAAGTCTCTGCAAAGCAGATATTCCTACAAATGACTGTAGTCTTTATTTTTCCAGTGGATACTGGCTACTCCTCTAGAATCCGATTCCAAGAACAACATCACTGAAGCAAGGGCTCCCTGTCCTGTAACGGAATCACAAGGTACTTAGGTGAAATGAGCAAGGCTTCTCCTGCACCTCTGTCCAAGAGGAGCGTGACCCTTGGCCTTCCTGCTTTATCTCATGCCAGTCTGTATTTGCACGATGTAACTAGTCACACTCGCCTATATTTTGATGGAACTATTTAAGATATAAACAAATATGAACAGCTATTAAGCAAAGAGACTCTAATGTTAAACAGATAAACATCCAAATAATCTAAACCATGTTAGCTATGCAGACATTTTCCAGACACACACACACACACACACACACACACACACACACATACACATACATATATGAGACACTTGTAATGAAGTTTGAATTAATTGAAGTTTGAAATAATTGAATTTATTCACACTCTGAGAACTACTTTCTTAATTAAATTATGTCTTATTAGTTACACCACAAAAGAAAATCACTTATCAAAGATCCATTTGGTCACATTTTACATTAAGTACTATTTGTTTTTGTGGCCCGTCTTCTGTCTGTGATGACTCTAGATTTAGTAATTTTGGTGTATGTGTGTGTGGTGTGCGTGTGTTTGTGCTGATTCTGGGGCTTGAACTCAGAGTTCAAGAACCCTTATCTGTTTTTGTTCTAGGCTAGTGTTCTACCTTTGAGCCACAGATCTACTTTGGGCTTTTTGGTAGTCAATTGGAGATAAGACCCTGACAAACTTTGCTTGGTAGGCTGGCTGGCTTCACACTGGGCTCCTCTGACCTCAGCATCGTAAGCCATTGGTGCTTGGCTATTTATTTATTTGTTTTAATCATTGGAAACAAAAATCTGAGCATGCTCAGATTTGGGATAAGAGAGGTCTTTTCCATTCTCTGGTTGGTGAATTAGAGTTACAAGTCCTGACCTCATTCAGCAGCTCACAACTTGCTCACAGCATCAGCTTAACAAAACTGCAAGACAAGTGATTAGACTGGTTAAATTATTGAAGGGCAATCCATTTTAATACCATCATTCCATGCCGTACATCATTCGTTCATTCATTCATTCATTCAACTGTTCACCATACTTTCTGGTACTCCCTCAAATTAAGAACCAATCATAAATACTTTTTCTGAGGAATGAAAATAAAGAAGCCAGGAGCACTTACTTTCCAGTAATAAATTGACTCCTGGATGGTGTACAAATGGGCTGGACATAGTAGTTCTCCAGTTTCACTCCTTCGGCAGCGAGCTTGTCCAAAGTGGGCGTCTTGATCTCAGATCCGTGGTAACCCACATCCCTAAATCCCTGATCATCCGCCAAGATGAAAATGATGTGGGGTTGGGAGGTGGCCGGGTTATGGGGCTCCGGTCCCTCTCCTCCGGCTTGAGCTCGCAAGGCCCCTTCCTCCTCCTCCTTTAAGCCCTGGCCCCAGGACAGGTAGCCATAGGTGAGGAGGCTGAGCACCCAGAAGACAGCTAGGGCTCCCATAGCTAACACCTTCCCGGGCCAGACGCAGGCCCTCGCGGGTGGCAGAGGCGGAGGCCCCGCGCAGCCCTTGGGGGCCATTTATTCTGGTGCCGGCAAAGACACCCCGCAGAACCTCGCACTCTGCACTTGTACCAGTGCACGCAGGCATGCGTGCGGAAGGAGGGGAGAGGTTTGTCTCCACCTGGAAGGAAATCCTGCGCTCCTTCCCGAGCTCAGCAAGACTGGACTCCAGTCTTCTTCTAGAAGTGGTGGTTGGAAGCATCCGAGGTGGCGAAATCAGGACAAGCGGTCCTGCCGTCTGCTTTCACTTTTTCTTTCTCTCCCCCCCTCCACTCCTCTCCACGAGCTGTTTCCATTGAAAACAACAACAAGAACAAGAAAAGTATCTCCATCAAGAAGTTCTCGGGGGAGGGGAGCCGGGACAGAAAGAAAGGAAATCAAATGGAGCATCCTGAGTCACACCGGGTAGAGAGGCATAGATACGGAGATGCGGGCGGCAGAGGTGCGGGGCGCACGCTGAGCGCGCGGTGCTGGGGCGCCGGATCCAGTGGTGCCAACATCTGGAATGCACCACGAAGTGGTTCCGTCCTTCCTGCTCTCCTCCAGCCAACCACACAAGCCTGGGACCGGCCTGGCTTCTGCCCGATCACCTTCTCCACTTTGCCAGGGCTCTCTCCTTGGAGTCTACCAGGCTCCAAGCACTCACCAGGCGGCGGCGCAGCCGCTTCCCGGACCCCCTCGATGGAGGGTCTCCTCTTTCTCTGCAGAGTGGTCAGCCGCGGTTCCTTGTCCCCGAGCAGGGTGGAAGCACATTGTGGGGTCAGGTCTCCAAGTCCCCGCCGAGCGCGGGAGGGGTGGGGTGGCTGGTAACCCAGGTCCTGGAGCTGCAGGCTGAGCGCGTTTGCTGGGCCAACTTACTTAGTTTTAGCTCTGGAGTTCGCTTGCCTCCTCCCTCTTTTCTCGCCCCATGAATCACAGCCCCGCACTCGCAGCCTCGGCGCCCCCAGGAAGCGGGAAGGGAAGGCCGGCTCCAGGTTAAGTCTTTCCTTTGGCATGGATCAGGGAAGAGAGGTTTTGCCCAAGGGGAGCCTGCGCACCGTCCTGGGCCTCACGACCCACCCAAGGAGCACCACCAGGGCACTGTTACCCCAGGACCCATGTCGTGAGTGCTGGGGCAACAACAGCGGGGGCGAGAAGGAAAGGGAGAGGAGGGCGGGCGCTGCTTGGGAACGGGAAAGGGGGGCGGGCAGTGTGGGTGCTCTTGCACGGAGGGGAAACTTTGTTAAGTTTCATCTTTTCCTGCTTCTCTTTGCTCTGCTACTTCCTTCCCTCTTTCTCTCCTTTCTTTCCCCCTCACCACCTCCCCCTCCACCATCCCCCTTGAATTCAGGGCCTAAGCACTGTCCCTCAACTTTTGGTCAAGGTTAAGCGCTTGATCACCTGAACCACAGCTCCTTTTTCTGTATATGTGGTACTGAGTTAGGGAACCCAGGGCTGTTTCGTGCATGCTGGGCAAGCACTCTACCACTCAGCCACCTTTCCAGCCTACAGCTGGATGTTTTAAAGTCGACTTTCTTCTACCAACAGGTGACTGGTAAAGCCTGACTTACACATTAACTTCTTCCTAAGTGAAGACATGAAAATGGTTAGCTTCTGGCTTCCTCTCGAGAAATTTACCACAGGCTTCTCTAGCCAAGAATGTGGACAGGAAGAGGAATCACACATTTCACAACCAAGAAGTTGGTAGGCATCATTCCACAGACGAAATCATTGCCTCTCTTGTGATCTGCAGAGATTCCCTCCCGCCCCCCTTCCCTTCCTTCTCCTTCCCTTCCTTTCCTTTTGCTTACCGCCCCTCCCTGGCCCTCTCCTCCCTTCTCTGCCCTCTGCCATCTTCTTCTCCCTGCTTGTCCTACTCTCCCCTTCCTATCCCACTTTACCCCTTCCTATTTTTCCTTTACCCTTTTCCCTCTCCATCCCCTTTTCCTCTCATTTTTATAAAACCTTTGTACTTGTACTAGAATTGTACTGTTTTAAAGCACTGCTTAGAGGCAGGAAAGGGATTTATATTATCTCTAAAAAAGACTTGGCAATCAATGCCAAGAGTCACTGAGATGCTTTTCTTTTTCCCTGACTTTCTCCCCACACCCCCTTTCCTACTAATACAGGACCTTTTGCTTGCACTCTACCACTTTAGCCAAAACCAAACGTGTTTTTTCTGTTTGTTATTTTTCAGGTAGGGTCTCTGGAACTGTTATGTAAGGATTGGCCTCTAAACCTCCTGGCATTCAGCCTCTCTAGGAGCTAGGCATGAACCACCAGCACCCAGCATCTTCACTTTATTTTTTTTTTCTATAGAACATACAATGATCTTCCAATAAAAAATAAAACATAAATCTAGGTTTTAATTTGACCATTTAGCTTGTATCTTCTCTACTGCTCAGGTTTCTATGGAATTCCTAGGCCAAACCTGACAAAATGAAAACAACTTCAAAAGACAGGATGGGTTGCAGGCAGTGGTTTTGCCACCATGTGTAGGCTTTCTCTCAGCCTCTGCCCTTCCCTGCAGCCATGCTGATTGGTTTGAGATGTGATGGTCACTTTCACAAGACATGTTGAAGAATATGAATTTACCAACTCTATGAGTTTAAATGTCCAGATAGCTAAGAACATTCTGAGTACTGAGAACTTAAGAAGAAGAGCTCCAGGCTTTGGGGGCCCAATGGGGTGGTGGAGTGGAAGAGATGCTAACAGATCAATGTACCTGCTTTAAGATGGAGAAAGCTTCATAAGTCATATTTAATTGGAAAGGGCTCTGTGACACAGAAGCCTCTCCTGTTTAGATTTCAGGGGAATGAAAAATAACAACACATAGTCAATATTTGTAGATTATTTATCCTGTGCTGGCTATAGTACTTTCTATGCACACATTCACCTATACTCTATATTATTTATATAATAATTTATGTACATATATCTTTTCCTTCTCCGCTGAGCTCATGCTCGATCTACTCCCAAACTTCAAAAGTTATATCTGAGAAAAGGGGAAAAAATTGAAGTTAAGAAACTTGACTTATCTGCACTGTTTGCTGTACTATTCGTGTCACGTTTCTGTTAATTTCAAATTTTTTCCATGTTATGTCATTCACTTACTTAAAAAAAAAGGAAAGAAACCTGACTTGCCCAAGTGTCATTAATGGATTAAATAGTTCAGAGGAGTGAACATTAAATTGAGGGGAAGTTATTTTGCTCATTATCTTCTTTTGGCAGAAAATGTACTCTTAGGAATGCATCTGACTTACAGATTCTTCACTTCCAAAGCGATGTCTCTTCCTACAAATGAATTTTAAAATCTGTCCTACCACAAAGTTCTGAGTGTACAGAGAGCTGGCAGAGTTAGGATTCTATCCTGCCCACCCTGCTTATAAAAGCAGAGAACAAAGGTAAGAAGTCATTTCTAAATGGACGAGTGGCCCACACCAGTAATCCTAACTACTCAGGAGGGTTATGGTTTGAGGCCAGCACAAGCCAAAAGTTCAAGAGAGCCCCTTCTCAACCAATGAAAAACAAACAACAACAACAAAAAGATAGGTTCAGTAACTCATACTTGTCATCCCAGTTATGCTGGAAGCATAAATAAGATTAAGGTCCAGGCTGGCTTGGGTACAAATGAAGACCTTTTTTTTTTTTTTTGCAAAATAACTAATGCAGAAAAGGCTGAAGGTGTGGCTGTCAGTAGAATGGGTCTACCTAGCAAATGTAAGGCCCTGAATTCAATTTGTAGTACAGCCAACTTTCTTAAAGACTGTTATTGAAAGGAGTCCAAGAATTGTTTACAGTTAGTCAAAGAGCCAAAACCAAGACTGAGCATGCTGCAGTAGACCAAATGAAATGTGACTCAAAAAGGAAATTTAGCCAGGGCTCTGCCCATAGTATGTTGTGGTTACTTCCACACCTCTGGGAAAGGTGTGGAGAATGAAATCAGAGGTATTAAATGTCCTGTGTTTTTCTGTACACACACACACACACACACACACACACACACAGAGGTATCATAAGCCCATAAACCTTGCATTTCATAGAGCTGGCTTTCATGTTCTTTGAGCAATGGTTTTACCAACTTCATGAAGTTTGACACTGAAGCACCTTTAGTCTACCTTCCTGTGTTTAGAATGAAAGTTTTGGTGTGCACAAGCCGGGCATCCTTACAGAAGCCTATCTTTAGTTTTATTAGCGTGGATATTCTCACATTAAAAGAAACAACACTGGGATTGTGGAATGGTCATGTGACATTGAAGGAACTATTTGATTCCCAAAGCAAAAAACAGACTTTCTCAGAAAAGAATGAACGCAGATTGAGTCTTCTGGTGAAGCTTAATCAGGATTTTTTTAAGAGGGGATAAAAAGATTAAGGGACTCCAAATTAGACTTCTTTTGAATGGATCATGCAAAAAGGAAAGCGTAAATTGGGAAGATGTTCACTACCATGAATTTACATAGGGAGTCACATGACCACCTGGGGACAGGGGCAAACAAAAGTTTGCTGAGTGTTGAGGCTGGAGTGGAGGTGTAGGTATAATGAGTCCATCAGTGAATAGAGACACTAAAACCTTTATAGCTGCTAAGATGAGTGAGCAGAATTTCTTTAAGATGTTCATGTGAGATCCCATTATAAAAGTGATGTTGACCAGAGCCCTTCCAGTATGCAGGTGTACAGATGCTTGAGCTTACAAATTGTATACATGAATTACTTTTTCTAAAGATGCCTACAAAAACATCTTGACTGTCAGGTTATTTCTTTCTCTTTTATAGGTATTTATTTTAAACTGAACTGGAACACAGATGATTGAGAAATAATATAAACTTTTAAAAAATTATTTTAATTTTATCATCAAGGTGATGTACAGAGGAGTTACAGTTACCTAAGTAAGGTGATGAGTACATTTCTTTGTAGGTTTAAAAAAATGAGAAAACTGCCAATCTTAGGTTTTACAGACTTCTTAAAAGATTTAAACCCAATTTCTCTTTTTGATTGTGTTTATCAGTATATTAACTACTTAAAAATGAAGGAATGCCAT